TAGTATGACAATACAATTGTAACATGACAATACTATTGTAGTATGACAATACAATTGTAGCATGACAATACAATTGTAGTATGACAATACAATTGTAGCATGACAATACAATTGTAGTATCTGGTTAATGCTTAAGCGAAGAAAGTCAGGCTTAACTTTATTTAAGAAAAGAATATGATTGTATTAAGTTTAAAGAGATGTGAAAGCAAATGGTGTTGCACTTTATCTGAATATATAGGAGTATGATACTCTGTGTATCTGAAATAATAGTATTTCAACTGAAGTAGGTACTCATCCTTATATTTGATAATAACAGCTTTGAAGTTGATTGCAGCAACACGTAATGTGTGAATTTGTTAAGTATTGTTTTCTTTTATAGTACACATCCAGACCGGAATAATTAGCTAACTGATCTGCATAATAAAACTTAATGCAAGCACCTTCACACTGACTTTATATAAGGGAAAATATAGTCATTTTACTTATGATGTATTATAAAAGCACTTGCAAATCATAACGTGAACCATTGAATTATAAGCATTTCATGTTCTGACTTTATGAATACAAACGTCTGTGTATATGTTGTATAAAAAATGAAAGTATCGTATACTTAGTGTTAGTTTTTTGGTGATGTGCATGTGAATGTAGTAGTAAATTTATAAGAAGTAGTAGATTGGCAATGGATTATATATGAGTGACGTTAGTAGGGAATTGATTATCGTTTTCAAATCAACTATTTCTTTTTAAGATCTCTTTCTTTATTCATTTCGTGTAAATCAACGCGTATTTTGAAAGCTGACAATGCACCGATGGCATTATCCAATAGATGAATGAATGACTGTTTAACGTCCAGTGGCAAATTCGGTGCTCATTGAGGACAAAAACGGGATAATGTGATATGATTTTAACCCTGCTTTGTACAAGATCGACATGCTAAGCCGGATTTTTAACATGCTAGTTCACAAGGTAGCTGTCTGCAGAAAGACATGTCACTCTACCCGGACACATTGTTTTGGCTCTTAACCAGTCTTTGTGCTTACTCCTAAATGTTGTGTGCTTAGCTGAAAAGCAGCAAATATCAATTTCTAAGTCTCTGGTTTGATCCAGCCGTGGTTCGAACCCAAAACCTCCCGCACTTGAGATGAGCACGCTTCAACGATAGCACCGAGGCAGTTTCATTATCAAACAAGAATGTTAACTATTTCCGGTCCCTGTGTGTCATATAGCTCTTCAACTGTTTTGGTTTTTATACATCAATGGTTTTCAAATATTCTGCTTTGAGTATTCCTGATGAAGGTTAAATAAACACATTTATTCTAAAACCAGTTTTGGATTGATACAGGTTATGTTTTTCTCATATATTTTATGATTGTATGATACTAAACCCCTAACGGGAGGGATTGTGCTTGATTTTCATATGATAAAGAAATAATCTTTCAATCAGTTTAACTGAGGTCTTGAGCTGGCATGTCAGTAACAGCTAGTAGTCCTTTGTTAATTTATGTATCATTGTCATTTTGCTTAGTTTCTTCTGTTACCTATTCTGACATCGGACTCGAACTTCTATTTAACTGAGTTTTACTGTGCGTATTGCTTTGTGTTTGTTTATTCTACATTGGCTAGAGGTATAGGGGAGGGTTGTTTAACCCCGCCGCATTTTTGCGCCTGTCTGAAGTCAGGAGCCTCTGGCCTTTGTTAGTCTTGTATTTTTTTTTTAATCTTAGTTCATTTATATGTTTCGGAGTTTTAGTGTGACGTCCATTTTCACTGAACTAGTACACATTTTTGTTTAGGGGCCAGTTGAAGCCCGCCTCCGGGTGCGGGATTATCTCGCTGTGTCGAAGACCCCATTGGTGGCCTTGGTCTGTTTTCTGCTCTTTGGTCGGGTTATTGTCTCTTTGACACATACCCCATTTCCATTCTCAATTTTATTATCCATAAAATCGCTTCAGACGTATGGAGTTCATAAACTGTTGTTTTTCATGTTTTTTACTTCACTAGGTCGATACCGCTGCTGGTGGACTATCAGTCCATGAGGGTATCATCAGCTCGGTGGTCATTACTTATATACTGACATGAATTATAACAAACCTTTATTAAATTGTCAGTTTATAAAGATTTTAAAAATATTAAGAGATTAAGGTTTCAACTCCATCAGGTAAAATTGCCCTTAGATGAGTTTGGCGGTTACTTTTAGGTTCTTTTTGGTCACATAGACCATCAACTGTGTTGGCTCTTCTACATATTTGGCTTTCAGCGTTCCTAATGAAGATAAATCCAGAAAGGCGCTTAGGACGCATGGAATTTATAAATGGCTGGGTTTTTTTTTTTTGTTTTTTTTTTGTCTATGTATTATTTGATGTTCAGAAATGATGGTATCCATTAATTTTCACAAGTAGCTTGAGTATATGAATTTTTATATTTTACGTGAAATAAGTATAAAGAAATGACATTCAATGTAAGTGGATTCTTGAGAAAAAAAATCTTCTATACTAATCAGGATACTTGTGTATATTGTAGACTTGTCAATATCTATAACAAATCGGTTCAAGGTGAAGTTGTATCAACAAGTAAAAAAACGATGCTAATAATAGTCAATTACAAAAATATCGAAAATAAGTAAAAAGACAAGGTATGATGAGAATACTTCTTTGAATTGGTTCTTAGAATACGAAAAGTAATAAAATATGCATATTACATCATACAGGAAACATACTAAGAATGTTCACATAACAAAATTGTTAGTCGGTTAGATGTCATTTATAATAAATCTTAATTGTCTTCATCTCATATTTTTATTTATGCATTCAATTTTCTGCGTCTAAGGTTAAACTGCAGAATTGTCAAAAAACTGCCTAATTTTTATTTTTTAGATATAATCAAAAGCCACCCGAAAAAATATAGATGTTGCAAGTTTTCAAGAACAATTTGTGATAAAAGTGTTGCTCGTATCTCATTTAACCAAACCATACATAAATTGTTTTTTTTTTTTGCCAAAAGAAAAAAGTAAGTGCCAAAGACGTAACAGTGGCACAAATTGCTTTTCTTCACTTAAAGTAGCATGACGAAATATCATTCTTTACAATTTATTAATTTAAAAAAAAACACAATAAGAAATGCAATTTATTCTGCATTTACGCGCCAAATAATAGTTTTTATCATGATACCTTTTAAAAATAGGCAGTCAATGAAAGAAAAAATATCAGTGTTTTTTGTGTAAAGTTTTTGTAGTAATATTTTTGATTAATGAACGCATTGTCAAAAGAAAAATTTAAATATTCTGTAATTCCACCTAATATTTTTTGTTGAGAGAAATAGACTAACAGTAATGTTGCATGCCGGAAGGCAAAAAATAATCCCTCTTTTGACCTACATGTAGCAACCTCTATTTTTATTAGTACTTATTTCAGAAATAATGTATTTCTAAATTTCCTAAATCTTTTCCTCTTAGCTAGATTATGTTAGAAGTTGTGTCCTCAGCTGAGAAACTGTCCTTTATTGACACACGCCTACACAATGTATTACCGGTACACGCCTGTTTTCTATATTCAACCAATGTAAAATGATTAAACAAATATATTATTACAGAAATTACAGACAACCTTTTGAACTCCTTTACACCAAAAACGTTTCTGTTTTATTGTTTAATAGTCTTATATGCTCACTTTCATAGAACGATAAAGTAACGATAACAATTAAGTGAGGGTACAATGGCGTTATGTCAGTGTGTCGAGTATCACATATGTAAAATTTTATCGATCACACAATGAAACATTTTTAAAGCGTTTTATTTTCATCTTTATCCAAGCTAGTTAAGATACTCACACAACAGGGTATTTAATAAAAAAAATTGTGAACTCATGTTTGCGCTATTTGTTAAATAACACAAACTGTACCAATTTAACTGGAGTGACATTTTCCATGTACCGTGGAATTTTTCACGTATAAATGTATAAGCTTGCGCTCCCTATAAGAAAATACCAAATTGAATGGTACCCTGTTCGACAGCACTAATGCCTACAATTAAAAAAAGAATTGATTTAGCTGAAAGAAATATAGCAAAATGTATGAAAGTTAACTCTCATCGCACAAGATGAAAGAGGAATGGTCAATTTCCCCGGATTTTTTTTTCACACCTGGCCGATTTTCAAAAAGTCTTTAAATCTTTACGGTTCATAAAATAGTATGGCTTATTTCTAAACAGATCATCAAATTATGAATGCCTGGAGATAGCCCATAACCGCATTCTTGACAGATTTTGGTAATTTTTGAGTATCATGTATCCCAAAAGTGAATGAGAAGGACATCGTTAATCAAAGTCAAATTTATGTTGGACGTTATTTTCGGATACAAATAAATTCAGTTTGTTAAGCGATGTCCTGCAACGCAAAATTTGACAAAAACTTGTAAAATTTGCAATTTTCCATCAAAATGCCTTCAACAACATGAAACACCGCATTTTGATTATATTGAATGTGTAAAATTCTGAAATACTATTTTAAGTATATGATTTACATATAGACTCCTTAATTATCAAGTTCCAGTAGCATTTGACAACTTAAAGATTTTGACCTGTGACTATCACAAACCCAGGGGAAATGACCTTACTACATTTCGGAACATTATTTTTTATATTGAACGATGCATGTACTGAATTGCAGGTACATCAAAGATGTTTTTCTTTATTTTCAACAAATCTTAAGTGAAGTAAAGTAAACCTTTTAACTTTGTTCGGTTAAAAAAAATATAATGAAATTAAGAATTGGTAATGCTACAAAAGAAGGAAAAATAACTTTTTAAGACCATAATGATACAATAAACATATTGTTTAAATGTTTCTGAAACATGGAAGGTAAGGGTGTATCACAGTATTTCACGCTCACTTAACCTGATATATGTATAAGTTAGAAAAAGGCTAAGTAATTAGTGATCATTCTCGTTATAACATCTGTGTTTTCTACATTATCACTAGGCAAAAAACTTCTAATTTAATGATAATCAAGCAATGTTGATGATCGTTCCGTTTTCTGGTTTCTGCGATAACAACAGTCGATGGCTTCTATTCAATAAACGATTTATTATTGTGATTAAAACTTCAGTAAATAACAATTTTTCAAGTTAATCTGGATTTTAATAACTGTTCTATCTTAATCAAAACGCCATTAAAACTTCAACGTGTGTTTATCGGTTAATCGTTGATTACGGTAATACATATGGACGTAATGATCTGCACTAATCACTGTCTATGTCTTGACGATCTATACTATTCTCTTCATAACTAATACACGGGCAGAGGAAACGTGTTAAGTCCTCCAGGATTTTTGTCATTGTTTACGATAAATCTTCAATACAGATTGATTCCTATGTAGGAAATCTACAACAAAAACTTATATATTCATCTTACGTATTGTTTTAACAAGAGAGCTAGGAAATTGAAATATTCTGATGGTAAGTGGTTTTTAATCTTCTTCTATAACATAAACATGAAACTACTAGTAAACTGTTTATGCTTGTTAATTTGTTGTAGTTAAATGTTTTTTTATGAATGAGAACATATTTGCTCAAGATGCGGAATAAATAAATGAACATCCATCATGGCACGATTTTCTGCCTGATATCACGATTTGATTACATAACAACACGCGTTTATCTAAAAGAAATGCACGTTCTAGTAAATTAAAGTATAAGGTTGTTATCAGTCAATAATGTTTTGAAAGATCTTTTTATTTGTTCTAAGAAGTGGTATACAGTGCCTATAGTGCAGTTGTTAAAGGGTAGATGATATAACACACACATGAGTATACACTTGACAAACAATAAGTGCTCTTAGATAGTAATTTTTATATATTTATCAATAAAAACGTACAACCATCCAGTCTATATAAGTGTGCGAGCTCTGTTTCTTGGATTTTTTTTGTAAGAACTGTTGACACAGAAATATGTTAAATGCAAATATTGAAAATAAAAAATGAGCAATAGTTCAAAATGGAAACTATGCAAAATATTCAATGTCAATAAATCATGACTGAAAGTGCAAGATCAAATAATCTCTGTGAAAATGAGATATGCCAATGCTAATACAAAGTTGCGTACCAAATAATATTGACTTGCTCAAACATCCAAACAGCAAAGAAATTTTGTTTATGTTTGTAATAAACGCTTTACACATGTTCTCATAGCTACAAAATGCCAATGTAAATCATAGATTTTATAAAATCATTAATAACCATACTCATTTCGTTAATAGCAATCCATGTATTTCTTTTCATGTACGTACTTTTACTTTCAAATATAAAAAAAAACATAAGAGCAATAGGTACAATTTATTTGTTGTTGTCATAAACGCAAACGTCATTATGTGCAATATACATAAAAGTTCTGTTTACATACTAGTATATATACGTAGAAAATATTTCATTCTGTATATATGAATATTGTAAGGATTCCTGAGTTTCAATCGTCGTACTCGGAAATTTGTTTTGCTTTTATCTTTTTTCAGTTTCAGTGGCATGTTACAAAACATAGGTTTGATATGAAATGATTCGTTTGTACAATCTTTACAAGGACTTCTCCATATGACAAAGCGTCAGGTTTTACCTACGCAACCAAGAATGACTTTATTTTCTTTAACCATTTTAAGAGACATTAATAATTCAAAGGGAGGGATATAATCTACCAGGTCAAAACATTTAAATATATATCAAAAATCTTTTACGTCGCTGGGTATCCATTTTATTTATCGTGTATTCAAATGTGTTACTTAATATTTCACATGTTGATCCCCCAAAATATGGCAGTTGTTATCTACAGTCCGTTTCTATGTATGTTGGCGTTTGTTTTTTTTGTTGTTCAGTGTTTCTGTTGTTACGTTGTTTCCCTCGGTTTTTTACCCGGATTTGTGTTTGCTTAATCGAATTATGACAATTGAACAGCATCGTACTACTGTTGCCCTTATTTATTCGACTTTCTGCGTTAAACCTTGGTTATACAAAATACGATTATTATCCATTCAATATTTTATTGCCATATAAACTTTACAGTTTGTGACATATAACAAAACAAATGAAGACAATAACTAAGTAACTCAATAAAATATACAGGTTCAAGTAAATATTAAAGGGTCCCCCGTCCTCAGTTCTATTGACTTTTTAACAAAGGATCCTAGTTTATTCACTTGTGTTTGTGTTGATGGGTTAATTAGAGAGAACAATTTATTAAGAAATGTTTCTCATCGTCTAGTACTTTGCATTTTTTGCAAAGTCTCTCTTCGCGAGGAATTTTAAAATGCCTTCCTTTTTCAATTAATAATGAATGATCGCTGATTCTAAGTTTTGTATTTAATTTTCTAAATTCAAAATTTGAGTTAGAGAGGTAAGGTTTTATCATTAGATTTGGTTCAAGTCCTTTGTAAAAATTAAGTTTACTTTTATCATCAATAGTTCTCAACTTATCAATCAACAGGTTGTTGTAATATGAGTTTATTTGGGGTTTAATATAGTTTTTAATATGTTTTACTAGTAATTGTTTTAACTTATCACAGGTTTTCAGTCTATCTATATCAATGTTGGTTTCAGAAAGAATATCTTTTGCAAAAGTGAATCATGAATAGGTCCTACTAGAATTCAAAGTTTTAGTTAATTGAAAAGATTCATGTAATAAAGGATTCAAATTTGAGGTGAAAAGCCTTGCTAAATACATAATGGTTTGGGTTTTTATATGACATTCAATAGGCAGTCTTCCCAATTCATTCCTTGTACCAAAATTTGAGGCGCTCTTGTTAGTGCCAAGGGTAAAATTGCAATAACCAAGATGTAAGTTTGCTATTGGAGTCTTGTCAATAAAATTAAATGGTTTTTTTTTTGTTAATTCAGCTGAAGTATGGCTGAGATTACCATTTGATTTAATCAACAGTCCTAAGTAAAACATTCTCTATTTTTTAATTTTTATAGACCTGTATAATAGATGTTTCAGGATTTTGCTTTGTTGTTGAAAAGACCATACTTTTTGTTTTATTTATGTTTAGAGAAAGCTGCCAGTTTTCACAAAACATGGCAACTTTATTGAGACTATTTTGGAGACCCTCCTTAAATTCTGAGAGTAAAAGGAGATCATCAGCGAACAGGTGGGAGCCTAGTTTACTATCTATAAGCTCAAATGGACATGAGTTGTCATCTTCCAAGCCTTTAGTGATATCATTTATAAAAATATTGAACAAAGTGGGACTTAATGAGTCCCCTTGTTTTACACCTCTAGTAATGTCAAAATAATTGGAAATGTGATCTTTATACTTAAAAGAGGATTTTGTATTTAAATATTGTTGTTTTATTATTCTGTAAAAAGACTTTCCTACTCCCATTTTGCATAGTTTATACAGAAGGGCCGTCCTCCAGACAGAGTCAAATGTCTTTCTTAGGTCAATGAAGCTTGCATAGATTTTTTTGTTATTTTTGTGTATATATTTATTAATTAAAGATTTCAATATGAAAATACTGTCAGCAGTTCTGTGGTTTTCTCTGAAGCCAAGTTGACAGTTATTAAGCTGTTTATCCACAACTTTGATTAGTCTATTATTGAGTACAGCATTGAATATTTTAGGTAGATTACTTATTAAAGATATACCTCTGTAATTATTGGGGTCAGATTTGTCCCCCTTCTTATGAAGTGCTAATATATACGAGTCCATCAATGATTTTGGATATAAACCCGTTTTTAGAATTATATTAAATATTTTAACAATTGACTTAATCATCACTTGAATTGAAGTTTTAATTATTTCATTTATAATTCTATCTGGTCCAGCAGACTTTTGTAGTTTAAGTCCACTGATCACCTTTTTTACTTCTGAACAAGATATTGGAGCATCTGTTTCAGCTTTGAAGTCTATATTGTTTTCTAACAGCTTCAATTGTGATTCAATGTCATTCATAAAAGCATTATTTATAGATGAAGGTTTACCTTGATCTTGAAAATGTGTCATTAAAACTTCTTCATCGTTTAATACCTCTGATATTTCATCTTTTTCTGTTTTATTCTTAAGTCATTTTAAAATGTTCCAATATTCCTTTGGATTTTGATTGATATATTCGCTTAAACAATTATAAAGTATTGTTTATATTCATATTTTTTCTGTTTAACCATTTTCTTCATTTTCTGTAGCCTCATCAACATTAACCTGATTTTCCTCATAATTAACCATTTCAAACTCTATTATTTCATTCTTTACACTTTCGGTCAATAAAGCATCAATAAGTTTAAGTTTAGAATTTTCTGTCCATTTATATGATTTAATCCAGTGCCATCTTTTCCCCCAAGGCCAATTTCTTTGTCTATATTTATAGTGCACTTCATATATAATGTTATTTGAACATTATTGAGATTACTCATGCTATCAACATTGTTCTGGTATTTCAATTATCTTGTTCTTAATATGTTAATTCCATTGCAAAAGATTTTCTAACTTTATTAACATGATAGAGATGAAAGTAAGTTCAGGTTCTTTTGTTATCAACTTTTTGATTTGGAAAGTAAATTCAATGAAAATCAGTAGGAAAAAAATATTCGTATCTCTTCATCATAATTGTTTAGAGAGAACATTTTGGCTTAATACCTGCAGATTTTGTCGATTTATAAATGCAAATAAACAAATCTATGATAAGACCGGCAAAGTTAGTCCTCGTGGGAAAACCAATCAATCGATGGTATATTTTACAATCAAAACGAAAATAAATATCATCTAGCAGAACTAACAATTGATGCTATTTCTATGCATGCATTTGTGTTTCATCTTAAGCTTTGTTACTAAATAATAAACGAATTGTAATAAGTTTTTTAAAGATCGTACTTTTTAATAGTGAAATGTCTGTTTGATTATATAAAAATAAGAAGATGTGGTATGATTGCCAATGAGACAATTCTCTACACGAGACCAAATGACAAACTTTCTTGCTTTTGTAATGATATCACCGACTTCTAACAATTTAATTTAGATAATATACATGTACTGTTATCTTTATTCATTGTTTTTAACAGACCATTTGCTAGGAATACTTTTTCATTTTGAGAATACATCTATTATTTTAGCAATCAATGTCCCCCACAGGAGGCAGAGATTTGTGTTCACAAATTGACATAAAGTAATAAGTTTGTTTTATAAAACAATTTCTTTCAGTGTATATTTAAATTAGTAATTACTTTTTCATTTTACAAAACTGTCCTTAACAAACGCTAGACATTTAAATATGTACACGAAATTACTAGTACTTATCTTGATAATGTCTTATTATAACAAGAAATAATAAACTTTGCCAGTTGATTAATGTTGTCCGTATGTTATCAAACAAAAAGTTCTTGATCCGAGTACACCTCCTACTTACGCCTTTCCAATTAAACCATTACCCTGACCCATTGCAAACACGATATATTCGCTTATTGTACGAAAACAAAGTGAG